TGCAGATCGAAATTCATTTTCAATCCACCTCAGCTACGCTAGAAGGCACATTATTACAGATTGACCCAGAAGACAAATAATTTCAAGTTGTCCAGTGTTTTAAATGAATAAATATTTAAGGGAGAAATATTTCATTTCTGTTTGTTAAATTTGTGTATGTATATCTTTGTGTTGGGGGGGAGGGGTTGAACGATTTTTAAATAATGTTGTCTAACAGTTTTTAGTGAGAATAAGTATAAAACTCGTGCACTCTTATAATCCTAGAAATAAAATATATTGTCATGTTAAGCCATGACCTGACTCTACAATTTTTACATTCAGGAGATATTAGACTGATTTAAGAAGGGGGGGCTTCTAAAATCAATCTAATATCTCCTGAAAAATAATCTTTGTCTTGTATGATATTTCGCGTTCTTAAAATTATCAGCTAAAACTCATATTAATGTGAACTTCAAACAATATGTTTTTGGGAGTTGAAATATAGTTGATTTTTGGATCATACATTCATGCACTCTTTGCTTTGAAAACAGCTCAGGTGGATTGAAAATGAATTTCGATCTGTTATTTTAATCCGATGTTTCCCAAACGTCCGCGTCGAATTGTACCCGCCCATTTCGTTGTCTATCACTGAATGTTTTGATTGTAACAGATAGAAATGACGTAAGCTGTATATTTCCAATTTTGCCAGTTAATGTTCCGCGGTCTTAACGTGAAATGTCAGTAGAGATACAGTGGCTGCAACGTTATTGTTGACAATTTACACGAACGATCACGCACGATACACGAACGATTCTACATGATTGGTTTGTCAACAATTACGTTGCAGCCACTATATAATAACAATATCTTACATCAATTTCATCTTATAAAATATCAGTTCTTTCTTTTTGACAAGTCTTTTTAAGGGAGCTGCAACAATTAATACATGAATTATTTACCTTTGTGACCACTCTAGAAATATTTGAATCATGGGTTGTCAGTTGTTTTTCTCCACTCTGCATGAAGGACGGCATTTCCATTTGGATACCGAGATCACCCAACACATCTCCAACATCCCTGAAACCCCTGTCCACAACAAACACGTCGTCCTCTTTTAACCAGGATTTCATTTCTTCAGTGTTGTGTAGGATCATATGTCTCAGAATGCTAGCATCATTGTTTTTGGCATCAGCTAGGTAGGGTCCAAGGACGGAGATTATGTAACCCGTGGTAGTTACAACCATCATGGGTTTAACGAGGGGTCTGTGTTTGTAGATGCTATAAGACCTTCTGGCAAATGCAAAGTTAGAACTTTTTTGAATATACACATAAGTTCCATCTAGCACTAGAATTGCCGGATCTGTGGTAGCACTGCCATTGAAAAGATCCCTAGCTAGTTGGCGCGTATGATTCTCAATCACTGCCTCCCGCGTGATGTGTTGAAAACCCAGATTTTGGGGTACAAAATCTGTCATCAGTGCTTTTCTCCCTGATTTAACAGCTCGTCTTATCTGTATAGAAATAATTTTAAAAATGTCTAAACCTTTTTGCAAAATATTTTACAGATTTGTAATATATACTAGTATATTTTATAACATATACATATATTTCATTATCTATAAATAAGATCCTGATCATTGCATAAAACGATATAAAATAATATACAAACCTGATGCTTTGTCATGTTGAATAAAACGCTCAGCATTTTGTTTGACATCGCTGTACGCAGTTTCACCAGCATGATAGCAATACATGTCCTCTTACTTCTTACTTTCGTTGAGTTGATACTGGTCACCGTTGACACAACATCTTGAAATTCCCCACGAGTAAGTCCAGTAAGAATCTTGTAGTCATCGTCATCCATGCTGCCCTCATCATCAAAATCTAGCCTGGTATTGCGGGAAGCTATTTCCCGTAAGTCCTGAATAATGTTATACACTGAGGTCCTATTCAGCAACACACCCTCACTGGTCTTAATTTTTTCTATATCTTTCTCCGAAAGCTTACCGTCTATCATGTGACTTGCACAGCACCTTGCCCCTGAAGGAATTATTATTTCTCCTACGATTAGTACATGTAAACGAGCATGATTTGAAATAGAAATAAGTTTTGGTCCCGGCTTTTTACACACAAAACAGTAGCCATGACTTTTGGTGGAAGATAAGAATGGTAATGACACAGATGGAGGACTTGACATGACTGTTAATTTAGTGCGCTTTGGTGATGTAAAAGATGGATCATTAGCTTCATCTTTATCAGAAATTGTGCACCGTGACACCTCCCTTTTTCTAGATATGTTACGACATTTGTGGCGGCACTTATTGCACAAAATGTCTGATACAGTTGCATCAACTGCAAAGTTTTTTGACAGGATGTTTATTTGCCCAGACTGAACGGGACGGCGCTCATGTGAAAGAGGTCTCCCTCCACACAATACGCAAGTAAAATACCTCCTGTCCATCCTAAAAAGAAAATATACTCACGATCATGTATTTGAAATAATATATATATATCATAAATATATTTAATAAAATGTGGTTATTTAAAAAATAAAAAAAATGTACTGTACGAGGGACGCGAACACGTACTACCAGTAGGTAAGACTGCAAGCTCTGACTATAATCGATCAAGGCCAATCAGTCGCATATATTCATGAGTAGAAGAAAGTGTACAGTATATAACTTTCCGGAAAAAGAAACTTAAAAAAAAAAAACATTACAAATTAAGACAAAACACAAAAGTTCTTTTCATATATTATGTCATATTTTTAAAGAGCATTATGCTGTGCAAGGATTAAACATAACGCAATGCACCAAAGCCCTTAGTCATTCTAATATTAGCCATTAGCCAATAAAGCTTGCAGACGATGTTGACATTTGACAAGCCCTTATAGGCCTATATATTTTACGAACACATACATTTCTTGATGTAATGATTTAAATAGGCTAATAATCTACATTTCTATGATTCCGTTCTTATATTTCTTCCCCCCTTTATCCTTTGCTTAGTTATTCGGCGTATGATGACATACGAGATACCAAACTGAACATACAGACTTTTTACATAATTATAATAAAAAAACATCGTCGGAATAAATTAGCTTATCACATTAATGCATGATCCTTCATACAGTACGGAACATATTAAAATTTTCAAACAATTTTTTTTCTCACCTGTCAAGTCATGATGTTTGTAAACCAGAATCTTGGTACAGGTATTGTTTACACTCACCCATAGAAACGAAAATGACGTCACAAAAACGGCGAGATAAAAATATTCCGGATAATTTATAAATATAAAAAAAGGAAAAAGAATTACAAAATTACTGTTAGAAGCTTTACTGAACACTTAAATGATTTTTTGCTTTCAAATAACTTGAATACATCGTATTGAGATTATAACTCAAACTAAATAACGTACACTATCAGCATAGCAACCGTTACGATTAAAAACTGATCAAGTTATTTTTTAAGATTAAACTATGTCCACAGCCCTCGCCCACGATGAAATTAAGACTGAATATAAACTTTCATCTGATATTCATTCTGTCAAAATTTAATCGTGGGCGATCACTGTGGAGGCATTGAATTTTGACTTTTTCTGGTGCTAAAATGTGCAAATAATGGCAAAAATAGCCAAATACAACATCTGTTTGACAGTGCGTAGTGCGCATGCGCACATGTTTTCTTGTTTTGTAATATGATTTGGTGTCTCTGAGGGTTACTTCAATAAAAAACATAAAAGAGAGAATTAAATATGCATATTTAATTTTGGGGAAATAATCGGGCGAACTTTTCACTAAAAGTGTACCTTGTTCTTTTATAGTATATCTGTCAGAGAGTAATATGGCTTTTTCTCCTGTCAAATGCTATTTATCAGGAATCAGTTTTGTCATTAACTTACATGGTTGGCAGAATCCAGTGGATTCATTTATTATTAAGAAGTTATTGGCTGGTTACAAGAGATGTAATGTATCTTAGGATATAAGAAAACCAATAACATTACCTATGTTGAATAGCATTGTCAGTGTTTTGCCACATTTGTGTTTTTCTGATTTTGAAGCAGCTTTATTTCAGTCTGCTTTTGCATTGGTTTTCTTAGCATTACTAAGGTTGAGTGAAGTGGTGGCTTTGGGTGTCAAGCATATTACTGTATCTAGTGATACCATTGAAGTCTTTATCAAAACATCTAAGACTGATCAAATTGTGTGGGGGCATTTGTGCATGTGAAAAAATCAAATGATACAATAATATTGTTTCAATCTTTGCATGCAGACGTTTGCTGCATTAAGTACCAATGTGAAAAGGGTGTCCTACTTTTCACATTTTAATTCCAAATCCTTAACCGAATACCAGTTTTCATCCATGTTACACAAAGCCTTGCAGTTTTTGAATATTCAGTCAACTCAATTTAAGACACACTCATTTCGCATTGGGGATGCAACCCACTTGTATACAAAAGGGTTTTCAGAGGATCATATTAAGCAGATGGGAAGGTGGCAGTCAGCAGCTTACAAATCTTACATAAGACCATGGTCGTTGTAAATTTACATTCTGTTCAAATACATGTATTATGAGATGAAACAAAGTTACTGTTAAAAAAAATAGTGTTTAATTTGCTCATCAATTTTAAATTTTATATTTAGATTCCATTTGGATCATAGGCTCATCAATTATTCATTGGGCTCACATATATGCGAAGAATTCAAATCAAGAGAATCTTGGGCAGGAGTCTTCCAACATCTTGTGGCATGGAATTCGGGGTATGGTCTGGGAGCAATTATATCCCACAATTGAATTTTTGTTAGCTCGTAACAAGCCAACAAAGATTATTATTATACATTGTGGGGGCAACAATATTGGTCAGGCTCACAATCCATTAAGGGGTCTTCAAAAATATTACAAGACAACTTTGGCAAATATTGCTAATTTACTTCCACAAACTTTTATTATTTGGTCACGTATTTTGCCTCGAAATAATTGGATTAATTGCCTTGCAAATACAGAAGGACAAAAGTGTAGACGTAGAATTAATAGTGCTTGTGCTACATTTGTGCTAAATAAGTTTCAGGGTCGGGGTGCATCAGTCAGTTATCCAGATATTAAAGCTCAATGCAAGGATTTATTCAGAAAAGATGGAGTTCATTTGTCAGATTTGGGAAACAGTATTTTTATCAATACTTTGAGAAATGCTTTGGATCATTTCATTGGTTGTAATTTTGTTTCGACAACATTTCCTTGATGCTTGTCATGAGCCAATTGTGTGCGAGTTGCACCTTTGTCATTTTCAATGCAATTTGTTTTCATATCAAAATTTAAATGTAGGGCGCAATTTGTGCCTCTTCACTAATTTAGTTATTTGGTGCAATTTGTACCTAATTTGGTGCACAATTTGTGCTTTATGTGACTTTATCCGATTTGGCATAATTTTGGTGCAATTTGTACTTAACTTGTGCACAATTTGTACTTTTATTGTTACTTTGGGTTGCAAAATTGCCGCCCCCATTTGAGTTTGTGGCGGATGGGACTTGGTCCCTTGACCCATTTGGCATAATTTTGCAAAGAATGCTGTCTCCGGGGGGGTACTGTTTTTTCCAGGCTCCTTGGATCAAGATGGTATTTCTCATGCTTATGATTATCTATATGCATTTACCTATGCTGCCATATAATCATCATCGGCGCATACATTGTATTATATCTGATATTTTATTAAATGGCCATGACAAGCACGCCAAAACAAATAATGTCTTGTTTTATTGACTATTTTTAGACATCCTTAACCTTTTACAGGGTTAATCTGATCAAGTTTGTTTCTGTTGTTGTCCAAGTACAATGTCACGAAATAACTGTATGTTGTACAGCGCTTTAGAGTAATTGTGTTTATTATATAAGGCGCTCTATAAATTTTGTATAATAATAAATAATAATAATAAAAAGTTGACAAGCCAAAAAAAGGAAAAAGGGAAAAATTGCCCAACCTCGAAAATCCTATTTCGTAGGGGGAGGGGGGCAACTTTTTTTCGAGGCCAACTTCCTTTCACTTCCAATTTTTTGGCATACAATACATTTTCTTGATATCACTATACTTTGGTAAGAAGTGGGGAGGTCAACCAACCTTTCAATGGACATTTTCAATAGTAAAGGTAATGTTGGGAAAAAAAGTGGGGGGCCAAACACAACCTGGCCCTGGCCCCCCTGTTGCTATGTGCCTGGAAGAACGATGTTGGCATGGTTACTAAATATAGAAATTTTGTAAAATTCCTTAAAATGCTACTCCTCCTACAGTTTTGGTCTGATTTCAATATAAGTTGGCACACAAGTTGACTACACTAAGATACATACTTCTATTAATTGCTGCCTGTTGCAAAGTTTTAAATCCAAGTGCTACTTTTCCTTTGTTACATGTACAGACTAGTAGATCTGTAGTCTCACCAGAGACTTCTGGTTTTAAGATTTCTCAGAAGTAAGAACGTTTATGTACATCGAATCTCATATGTTTCTTTCATACTTCTACTCAATTGTTTGTGATCTTAATAGAAAAAAACTCAACTCAGACAATATCCTATTATTATAGGATTAAACGTTCTTTTTTTCAAAATTTATCGATGTGTAAACTCTGCCTTTTTACTCACAAACTGAATAAAACTGCGAAATTCTGAAAAAAAAAGATCGTTTAATTTTTATAATTCCAATTACGAATTTTTAAAATTATCAAAATTATTTCTCTTTGAGGCCGCCATACAATCCGCTATTTTGTTCGGCGTAGGAATACTTTATGCCGCAAAGAAACGTATGCAAGATGAATATCGATAAAATCCAACTTAGATTGTCAAAACAGTCAATAAATAAACATAAAAATTCATTGCATGTTGTTTAAGTCAATAAATATCGTAAATACGCATATTCTCCAGAATAATTCGTCCTTGACAATGGCCATGTTGGCACTAACGACAATGCTCATAGCGAAAGTTGCAGACCGACGACGTCGATCCTCGATTTGCTCTGGTTCGTTCAAAGATTTAGGGAGAATATGGGATCTGTAGGATGTAAATATATGAATTTGATCCTGATAAGGCAAGAGTCTGAGGTACGTTTCTTTTCCCTATCACAACGATACCAATTGATGAGCTGATATGGAAAGTCGAGAAAACGACAGCATGATCAGCGATTTTTTTTAAAATTCACACTCGTGATCCGACAGTGACATAAACATAATATTCCCGTCTGTCAGTCCTGTTTATCTCCTGTTTTGCTTTTTTTTAATTTTCAAGTTTCTTGTAACCATAATTAAGCTAAAACGGACTAGAAGTATCTGTTTTCATTGTTTTCAACAGCCTAGAAGCTAGGTCAAGAAAGTTGTTCTGATTGAAAAGTAAGTAATGTTTTGTTGCGTAAACAGTGAAAGAATATGTTAGGAACACACGATTAGTATTATTTTGAGATGACAGTTTTAAAAACATGG